TAGGCCTGCAGGAATCAGGCACTCGCGACCGCATGTGCTACAGCACCAGGCGCTCGATGTCCATTGGGTACAAGCCATCTGCGATTGCCGCTACTTCTCTGCGTGCACGAAGTCTTTCCCTTGAAACTCGGCAACTGCCTACATGATCAGATCGCGACATGCACGCAGATCAACCGCATTCGACTTCCATGACCTGCAATCCAGATTAGAACGTTAGGCTCACTTTGATCATGCCTGGTAACGTAACTTGAATTTACCGTATGCCGCTTCAAAAATACCCAGATGGTCATATACTAATTTCAAAAGTGCGGTAAGAAGACGAAAGCTGGTGGATGCACGCATTTCGTATTGTCTCCGCAGTACCATTAACAATAGCCGGTATGCAATTATTTACTTAAATATGCATGTGACCGAATAAGCATGAGGTGCAAAATGAATGACGAGAGTTTCACCCCTATGTCTTCGGCAGTCTTAAGCTGACAAATAGTTGCTCTTGAACGCACAGGACCGGCTTCATCCGGCTTATCGCAACGGCCTCGGCGTAACGGAGGAAGCGGGGATTAGGCTGACGTAATAAAGTGTGAACGCTGATCCAAGCTCTATTCGGTGACGTGTAGTCAGCAGGTGTTTGCCTATTGAGGAAGCTGGCGGCTTGCGCATGCAGGGAACATCAGTGGGACAGGGATGCTGATCATTTGCACGTTGAGCATATCTTGGCACGTGTTCGGGAAGTCAAAACCGATTGGTTCTGCCGCCGGATTCGCACATGAATTTGTATATGCAGTGTGAGTTGGCACCTATCGGTTGAGTTTGCTACGTTGGAAGCACTAACAAGTTACAGGTTCTATTGATGACCACAACCTGAGCAGCATAGTAACTTCTCTGCCTACCAGTGCTTAAACGTTTCGTGCATTTCAATACAGTAAACTCACGCTTGAAACGCAACTCGATATAGATCCTTTTCTTGGCTGCCGTATGCCCCAAGTCTTCCGGGACTCGCTGTTGGCTGTGTTTCTCTATAAATCTACGTAGATAACCATTCGCAATGAGTGTTGTTGTAATTAACTCTATCTCGTCGGCTAGACAATCAGCCGAGTAAATTCGTCTAGCACGACTAACAAAAGTTTTCACAAGGATCCGCTTGTACCGCACTGGTGTGAAGCTGATGAAGTGCAGGTATTGGCCGGACCAGGTTGCTTTCCTGTAGATAGACCATTTAATGAGCCCGTCATCCCTGCGACGGATAGGGATGTCTAATAATAGCAGACAGTTCATCTGTTCCACTTCGCAGGTGAACGGCAAATTGGCATGTGCACAGTTGAGTTGCTGCACAAACTGGACAATCTGCTGCTCCGATGAACAAAAGGCAAATATGTCATCCACATAACGTTTACAATACGGTACCTTGGCTATTTCTGCGAATATGCCTCTTTCTATCATCATCTAAATCATTGATAAGTTGAAATGAATCTTAGGTAAATGCGTCGCAGCATAAACTGGCTCGCTGGTTAGTGAAGATACTTTCGAATCTGCGAAAACTGTCCAATCCATATAGTCAAAGATTCTTTTCAAGTTATCGACGACTAAGATGACATCAACCTTTCCGACAAGGCATGTGTTCCTTGGATGTAGAATCTCTATTTACCAAAGACCCACTACAACAAACTGTTGATTACATATGCGAGCTAGCAGAGCACTCTAGTTATTCGTTAACAATTCCAGTCGAATTTCTAAAGGAATCCTTACTGCTGTGTACAGCAAATGTTGGCTTCCACTTTCAGAACACCCCATATCGTCAAATCGATGGCCATGCACTTGCCGATTTCTACATGCCGATGATAAAAAGAGGCACACCTACAGAAATAGCCCAGTTACCATACCATAAGCGTTATGTGGATGACATATTGGCCTTTTGTTCATCGGAGCAGCAGATTGTCCAGTTTGTACAGCAACTCAACTGTGCACATTTCAACTTGCGGGTCACCTGCGAAGTGGAACAGAAGAACTGTCTGCCATTCTTAGACATCCTCGTCAGTCGCAGTGGTGACGGGCTCATTAAGAGGTCTATCTACAGAAAAGCAACGTGGTCCGGCCAATACCTGCACTTCACCAGCTTCACACCAGTGCGGTGCAAGCGGATCCTTGTGAAAACTTTAGTTTGTCTCGCTACGCGAATTTGATCGGCTGATGGTCTAGCCGAGGAGCTACAGTTGATTACAACAACACTCATTGCGAATGGTTATCTACGTAGATTTATAGAGAAACACAGCCAACAGCGAGTCCCGGAAGACTTGGGGCATACGGCAGCCAAGAAAAGGATCTATATCGAGTTGCGTTTCAAGTGTGAGTTTACTGTATTGAAATGCACGAAACGTTTAAGCACTGGTAGGCAGAGAAGTTACTATGCTGCTCAGGTTGTGGTCATCAATAGAACCTGTAACTTGTTAGTGCTTCCAACGTAGCAAACTCAACCGATAGGTGCCAACTCACACTGCATATACAAATTCATGTGCGAATCCGGCGGCAGAACCAATCGGTTTTGACTTCCCGAACACGTGCCAAGATATGCTCAACGTGCAAATGATCAGCATCCCTGTCCCACTGATGTTCCCTGCATGCGCAAGCCGCCAGCTTCCTCAATAGGCAAACACCTGCTGACTACACGTCACCAAATAGAGCTTGGATCAGCGTTCACACTTTATTACGTCAGCCTAATCCCCGCTTCCTCCGTTACGCCGAGGCCGTTGCGATAAGCCGGATGAAGCCGGTCCTGTGCGTTCAAGAGCAACTATTTGTCAGCTTAAGACTGCCGAAGACATAGGGGTGAAACTCTCGTCATTCATTTTGCACCTCATGCTTATTCGGTCACATGCATATTTAAGTAAATAATTGCATACCGGCTATTGTTAATGGTACTGCGGAGACAATACGAAATGCGTGCATCCACCAGCTTTCGTCTATTTATCATGCTTTTTCAAAAAGTTCTTTAAATTGCTCAGATAATTATTGTTTCTGTATCCGCGTCGAATCCATACGGCTCACATAAACAAACCACCTCGGGTGTCTCAGCAAAGATATGCAGTCCACTGCATACATTCCACTTCAACGCAACACGGCCGTGTCCGCAACTCTGTCGCCCCAACTGATGAGCAGAATTCGTCGCAAACACTGTCGATGGAACCGCTCGCGATATCACACATTTCGCTAGTAAATTGTCCACGTTTCACTGCCGTGTAGAAGAACAGACAGCACCATGGATGTGTACACCATCAGCTTCGTGCCAATGGTAAGCTGATGGTTGTTCCACACTCGGTACTCAAGCTTCCCGAATGCCGCCGGTGCCTACAAGACGAAGGGTACGAAGCTCACTGTGTAGCTTTATGGTCCGTCGACATCACACTCCGAAAGTAGCAGCGAGAGGTGGCTTCCAATACTTCAGCACCAATTCTGATTTGCGGCAATATTGAAGATTGCACCTCCGGTGAAGGTTGAAAGAGACCGAATTTGGCCACTGTCGAAGCCAGAACACTAGTCATGTGCTGCAACTCGTCCGCGCTGTGTACAAACAACGCACAGTTGTCAGCAAACAGCAACATACGGATAGTTGTCACACGGATATAGTTCTCGCACCGAAACGACGGATGCTAAGCAACCCACCACCAATAAGATGCTCCACATAAACCCCGTAAGCACAAGCGGTGCCAAAAGCACAATACATCATTGCATGAAGATATATATTAAACAGGACAGGAGCAAAGACACAGCCTTGCTTCACACCAGAGACAAATGCAAAGTCATCCCAGGTCTCTCCACTCATCTGCACCCTCGCTCGCATACCACTGGGCCGAAATTCAAGTAAACTTATAAACTTACGCGGGCAATCAAACTTACCCAACACCAGCCACAATGCCTCGCGGTTCACCGTATCAAATGCCTTGGTGAAATCAACAAAAAGCGAGCACAACAGCTGATGTCGTTCTTTGCACTTCTCCTGCAAATGACGAGTCGCAAACACCGTACCTATAGTGCTGCGGCTCGAAAGGAATCCACACTGCTCTTCCGCCACGTTAGGTTCCACAACCTGACTGACAAGGCCGTTGAGCAGGATTCGGGCAATCACCTTGCCCACACAATTCAGCAAGTTGATGCCACGATAATTCGTGCAACATTGCTTGCTCCCTTTGCGCTTGTACAGTGATAGCACATGGGCATCCTTCAGCTCAGGAGGCACCTCCTCCTCAATCCATATGCGTTGCACCAAATGGTGCAGCGCAGTCAACAACGCGGGTCCGCCGTACTTCAGGCGGGATCCCCTCGGCCCCCGCACACTTGCCGTTTCGCAGTGAGCAAGTGCTCTCTAGGTCTGATTCAGTGTCGGCGTGTCCAACAGACTCGCCTTCACATCGTGCTGCTTGAGGCCGTTCAATGTAGGCCAGTCGATCTCTGAACGGTTGTTCAAGAGACAATCAAAATGTTTTCGCCAGATCTGCATTATGTCATCAGTCTGTATGTAGGTAGCGCTTGAACTACCAGTTATCAGCGTCCTCGGTCCAAACACCGCCTTCAAGGAGTCAAAGAATTCCTTGTGTTGTCGGCGTAGCATCCCATCTGCTTCGCCTCCTCCGTCCACTATGTGTTTTTAATGCGACGGAGCTCTCGGGTCACTCGCCGTCGAAGTGTGCGAAACGCACTATTCTTCTCAAGTCAAATTCAGTTGCACGGTTATGTCTACTTGAGTGAGTCACAGCCAAATCAGCAATAAAAGTGGACTGGTACACAGCTATTATTTATTTGAAACATCAAAATAAGAAACAAAATCATGAAGAAAAACGGATTCAGACTTGAAATCAGCATTAAAAATTCATTTACAATTAAGTCATAAATTTCTTGAAGCAAAAGGTTGATAAACTGTGTCACCGTGTACAATGCATGTCAGAATCTTAGGAAAATTTTTAGGCTTAAGTAACAGACCCTGACTAAGAGGTCAAGTCGTTACTCACTCAAGTGGACGGAGGCTATGTGAGCTTGAACGTGAGCCTTTTGGGAAAACGCTTTCTCACAGTACTCACACACGTGGGCTCGTGGATCTGAAACAGAAAAAAGGACGACAATGGACATGCGAAAGATGAACAAAGAAAAACAAAATGAAGTTGTGAGTAATAATGGGTCAGCGAAATAAAATCTATGTTTACACTGGCAATACAGTAAAACCAAAGTTGATCGCCCCCATATCCTTAATAATTTGCTCCGCTGACCGATTTTTCCCATTTCTTGAACGTTCAGCTTGGTCCCGCGCCCCTTACGTGGTCAGCTTACGGAGGCTTCATGGTATATAGAACAAAACGCACAGGTAGAGAGCAATAAAATGGTTAACAGTGTCAGACAAGACCTCCAAACATCGAGGTGACCAGACCGTAGACCCGTGTCCAGGAAGAAGACATCTGCAAGCCTGGTCACCACGTGTTGGTGGCATTTGACTCGGTTTCAGTTCACCCATCGCCCGTTGGAACCGGTCATGAAATCGGCCACTGGGCGCTACCACACTCTTGTTCCTTCGTGTGGAGCCGGCAGGAATGTCCTCACCGCGTTCTGGTTTTCGTCTACAATTACTGCATGGATTTATTTCAATCTAGACACCATTTACTGCCGCAATCGCATAATCCCTGTCCATGTTGGCAACGCTTCCGTCTGCTCATTTTTGAAAGAGGCACATGCATTTAGCTGAATTGCAATACCCTCATACGCATCAGCTTACGCTGATGTTCCGATAAGTTCATGCTTCCTTGAGTACAAATATGCAGGCAACACTGCACAGAAGTCTGCAAACGTCGTTAGCCTGAGTATAAAACGGAGGCCGGCAGCTTGTATTCATATTGGGAGGGAACGCAAAAAGCGCGCAGTGAAGGCCGCACTTATCCATCTCTCTTGGTTTTGGGTGCATCGAGGGAGAAGACAATTGCTCTAGTTGCAATGAAACAATGGTTTTATACGGGTAGAAAAGCTGAAGCTTAACAGGTCCGGAAGGATGATCATGGTCAAAATTCGAAATACAACAAAACTTGTCAGTAAATTTAGGTTCACACCATTGGACTCATCGCGGTACTCATAGTATAACATGTAAATCCACTGTAAGTCATGTTATGTTCCGTAACGCACATGTGTATTTTTACACACGCATATATGCCCGTTCGTGGGGGCTGCAGAGCACAATATTCGACTGCCTCCTGTTGTCACTAAGTGGACAGAAATGAAATCAGGTGATGAAGGTGCTGTAGTGCATCGTAGAGTCGTTTATTAAAAACGGGTAGCGTGGGCGCAGAAATGACTAAAGTCGAAAGCGCGTTCCAGCGGTGACGAATTAGAAGAGAAAAATAGTTGCGGCGGCATTCCAGTCGATTGCATTGCGTATCTAGTCTCAGCTGGCGACCCCTCAATTTTGTGCTGCGGCCAAGTTTCAGATGGCGGCAAGCGTGAACGGGGTTTTCCAAGATCCGGTACACCAGAACGAGGTCGTCCTGTAGACGGCGATAACTTCCACTACACTCTCCTAATTTTCAGTCGCAGATGGTATGGCAGGTGGAGCAATCCCTTCACACACTTGGTTGCCGTTCGCTATGCGGTATCCAATACAAGCAGATCACGTGTTAACCAGAGTTGCCAGGCCTGAATTGTGTAGTTCACATGGGGCCTCCTATATGCACTGAGCATTTGGGGGAAAGATGGAGGAGTCGAACCTCCCGAACGCCCTCCATAAAAGACCAACGTGTTGGTTAGCGGTTATGGATGCCTTCAAAGAGTGCGCCGAAGAGACGATGTTGTCTTGCATTACCACCACAACATCGCGCTCCTGTGAGGTGGTTTGCAGTATTTGGTCCCCAAGCTTATGTGCGTAAGTGGGCTTGTGGCGTACATGTACAGTCATGCATTTGTCCGCATTAAACGGAAGCAGATTTGCCGTGGACCATTCAAAGGAACGGCCTAAGTCTCTTTGCAGTACGTGGTCGTCCTGACAACCGATCGCCCGCCATATCTTGATGTCTATGGCAAAAATCAAAAAAATTCGCCTCGATGATACGCGCTAGGTCGTTGATGAAGACTAGGAATAGGCGCGGCCCTAACACCGATCCTTGTGCGACACCGTAGTCCACGTCGATAGGATCAGAAAATGAACCCCTAACCCGAACCTGAAGCTGTCGCTGAAGGAAATATCCGATCTATCGAAGGACCGGGTCCCAATTCTTTAGACATGCAGCTTTTGGAGAAGGATTCGGTAATCTACGAGGTCTATGGCTTTAGAAAAATCGAGGCCGATGACATTAGCGCCGGTCCCACTATCGGTTTTTTCGGTCGAACTGCCACGCGCAATCAGAAGTGGTAGTACATGACCGATGCTGACCGAAACCGTGTTGTTCCTGCGGTATGATGTTAAACCTTTCAAACTAGCCCATTAGAGCCTCATCTATGATCGACTCCTTTGAGAGCACCGGAAGAATCACAGGGCTATAGTTGACGGGCTCTGAACGGCAACCAGCATTGAAAATTGGGGAGATGATACCCTGCTTCCATATTCTGGGGACCTGCTATTCATCCAAGCATCTTTGGAAATATCGAGCTAATCCAAGTAGCTGCCAGCTGAAGTGCCTTTGGGGGAATGTTGTCAACACCGGGGAACAATGGGTGCGCAAGGATATCAGCTCCCTCAAAACGGTCATTGAATTAAAAGTGATGTGTGTAAATATTGGGGTCTGGGGGCATGTGACATGATGGTGGCGCATCGAAATATTGAAGCATATTGCAGACGCAGAAGATTGGCTGCATCCTTGGCAGTTTGAGCACATCCATTCGTTTAGATAAGTGAGAAAACACCACGCTTCAAATTCCGGAGGATAGGCACATATCTGTACAGAAGCATGGTATTAGCCCAAAATCTTTCTGCTAGGGTCTGCTGGTGTACTAATTTGTCCTCACGTACAAGTGCGGTACAATGATTACTATGCACTACATAGTAGCTCCAGTTGTCACGGTTAGGGTACACTCTATACCCATGCCATGCTGCGTCTCTTAACGCTATGTGTTTTCAGGTTCTGTCCCTCATGATCGATGGTGCTCTTGTAGAAAGAATGGGTCTGTCTGCAGACGTGGATTTAATCAGATCGCTGAACTTGCCAGCACACTCCGTCCAGACAACACCAATTGCACAATTGTCCGAAAAATCCAAAATAGCATTCCTAACAACTTCTGTGAGTACGTCGGAATGTGTTATTTTTCGCAACAAGTCACTGTTCTTGTGGATATTCCGCATAACACACATAGTTGTCCGGAGAGATTACCACTCGCCTATTCCTCACAATAATATGACCAATGCTAGAGTATGGCTCTCCTGCGTATTGTCCTATGACCCGGGGCGAGGTAGAAAAGATTGAGCGAGTGCAGCATGTGGCCATCAGGCTGATTCCCAATTCACCAGGTGTGCCGTATGAAGACCGGTGTAAGAAACTAGGGCTTTACACCCTAGCTTATTGTCGACTGCGGGTTGACCTCATCATGACGCACCGAATATTACATCCGTGTGATTACCCCATGTTGATGCTGTTGCTGTAATTGAGCACACTAAGCAGCACACGAGGACACAGGTTCAAGTTTCTAGTACCGGATTTGAAGCGGGTCGCTCATGAACTCTGTTTCGAACGGAGAGTGGTGAATGTATGGAACAATCTGCCGCAGTATGCAGTTGAAGCAAAGTCGGTGTCGGAATTTAAGAAATTCCTGGACAAACATTTTGCTGATAGAAAATATATCGAGTGCACTCCAACATAACGGGTCTTTGTCCCTGAATGACATTAGATGCAGTTACACAGAGATCTCTTTTTACTGCTTCCAACCAGTAGTCAGTGGAGAATATCTACATCGATTGCGATCAGGCATTACGGAATCACATCGGAGCAATTTTTGAAGCGTTGTCAACTAAAAAGGCAGCTGATGGCACATTACATCCATTTTCCAAGATATCAAATTGGGCAACCGGTTGGGGTTGCACAACCAACGCACTCAACATTCTACTCACTCAAGTGAACAGACATTTCATGCAGTCGGAGTTTGCACTTTAGGATAAATGTTTTCTCACAGTACTTGCATTTGTGAGGTCGCTCTAAAGGAACGAAAAACAAGAATTAACAGTTAGTCAACACGAAAGAAAAGACAACATGATGAGTGGTCGCAAATCCACCCTACAATTGACTAAACAATAAGGAATAAGAATCAACTTAGTGGGTGCCAGTGTTGGGAAGAGCAACATCCAAATATGTCCATTCAGGATACGGTCCTCGAGATCGGAATGACCGAGGTTTACCTCAAAGTGAGCCGAGGTCTTAATAGAGGTTGCGAGTCGTAACCCAACCACACAGCGTGCTGCCAAATTCAACTTGAAGAATCAACTTAATTACATAAAGAAGTTCCGTCTAAAATATTCAAACAGACTACATACCATTTAACATGTGATTGTAAAACAGTTACAATTAGCTGCTTAGAGGGCCATTTGTACTGCTCATTCGCATGAACAAGTCCACCACAAGCCACTGGACTCAACATTTTTCACCATGCGAAGGCTGAGGTATATTACAACGGCACACTGACAAGCGTATGCAGATTGTGCCAAAGTCACGCTGAAAAATAAGTAACGTTTTTTTCGGTGTCAATTTGATCTACTGATTCAGGTTAGACAATGGTGACGGGAAACACAATTGAAATGCCAAATCTATGGGAGTATTTGACAAATACTAGCATACCGATAAAAGTTGGTGGGCATACACCGTTTCGCGTAAGCTATGCTTGTCACCTTCGCAATGCGCTGAGGTCGGTTGCGAGGACCGCATGATCATCCATCGGCCATCACAGAGCCCGGTACATGAGGTACCAGCATACTGCTCTGGACACAGTCTTTAATGGGTTATGTGTACAGACAACGTACCGGGTGACATCAGATCTTCCAAATGACCGGATCATGTGACGACAACCGATAAGTCAGAAAGATCAAAAAGGCGAAAGATCGGCGGAATTTCAGCAAAACACTGTCCCCTGTGCGTTGGTCAGCGATGCAACATTTACTCGCAAGCATCTGGGACCCGATCGGCGGAAAATCGATATTAATGACCTTTACCGCAAAGGAGGGATTCACAAGCATGCAAAGTGGATGGTAATTGCTGCAGATAAAGGTGAATTAAACGTTTCACCAATAAAAATACAAGTACACATGTCGAGGAAAGCTTTGACATCAAGATTTGGCCACATAGGCTTAGAAACAGAAGAAGATCGGTAACGCACCGGGAGCAGTTCCTTCTGAAACGGAAAATAGAGGAATTAGATATATCGGTTGGTATCAGTGGAATGACAATACATGAACTACTTCCCGAAAAAGTTGGGCAAAAACTAACGTGCCTGAGGATTTAAACCATTATCTAAAATCCAAGAAGAGGCCTAATTCTGGATCAATTCTCCAATTGGTGCAATGTAAGAGCTGCACATTGTACCGATTACAATCATGTCATGAAGTCATTCACAAGTGGTTTGCTAGCAATGTACCAAGGGACATCCTGCTCAATCAGCCGCTGAAAGCCACAACCATGTCAGAATGCGGAATGCGGAATGCACTTCAGCGACGGGAGAAAAAACTTCTTTTCTGGCAGTGCCAGCAACGGAAACACAGGTCCAAATGTAGATGAAATGATGTACCTGCTTGAGATATGCCCTTACAAGGACGTACGCTAATTTGGGAACCGCACTTCAACGGGGTGAAGCACACTCCGTACCCAGATGAGGTTTGAGAATGATGCTTAAGCTCTGAGGTTCGTCACCAAGTAAGGCGACATTATTATCATGATCTAAGTCGGCCCCGTGCCTACCTAGTAAAAGCTGTAAGCCGATCACTTGGTAACTTACCAGAGCGTTCGATAAAAAGTTCTCAACAACGAAATTTTAGAGGAAACATGCCGGAGGGCACAAATGACGGCAATAAACTTCACTGGGATCCCGTTCTTTGGCAAGAAACAGCAGGGATCACACAGACCAATAAAGGCGAATGCGGTCAGAATATCTATCAATGTTAAAGGTGGTGGTGGTTTTGGGTGAGATGCTGAAAAGTGGAAGTTTGATCCAATCACTCTCGGAAATGAAGGAAACAATCTTGCTTATAACTGCAGCAGGACTCACAATTTGCGGATGGAATACGAAGTAGAATGTAACTGATATATTGGTAACTGACGCAATAAGTGTGAGACCCTCTTCTGAAGAGTTTGGTCGTTACTGAGTCACTCCAGGAAAAGAGCAAAATTCCCTCATACCAAACCTTGGCGAAAAAGTAATGAGTTGGCTGATGATTTTCGTACCGCATAGTTGAATAGCTCCAGAAAACGTCCGTTTTGGAGAGCAACCTTGAACCAGTCGAAGTTTCGAATCCAAAGAGAGACAACTGTTTCGCTAGATGGATACAGTAGGTCGAGCAGAACTGTGCCCAAGCGATACAAAAGCCTCGGCTGATTGGAGACTAGTCCAAGACGGGAAAAAGCACTATGACAACAGTACGCTCAAATGGATGGATCCACCAGAGACTAACCCGCACAGTTAAATAAATAGAAAGATTCGTTTGCTTCACATAATGATGGCTAGTTTGACGCACTGAACATCCTGTGGAGCAAAATGTTCCTGAGCAGCGAGAGTAACAAAACCAGTGTCTGGTACTGGAAACAGGGTGATGCCACTGAGGCCACACGATATGACCAATGGGGACACGATGCAAGTGAGATAAAACAAGTTTACATGTCAGGGTCAATTGCACACTTACCTGAATGAACAGTTCTGAGGTGGCTTTGCATGCCGCCCCTCTCAGTAAACGATTTACCACAATGCGCACATGGATGCAGTTGTCGCTCTGGAAAACGAAATCGAAATTGACTAGTTACAGATGAGCCGATCAGAAAAAAACTAACAAAGGATAGTAAATGATTCGTTAGAATAAGTGCGTCCAAGTTGCAATATAGTGGAAAACAAGTGAAACAATAGCTTAGTGTAGGAGAATGTCGTAACACGGAAGACAAGTGAGAAGCAGTCGTCGGTAATAGCAACCGCATCGTAATCTTAGGTACGACACGAAGTATCCAATACTCTTGTTCGACCCTACAGGGTGTTTTAAATCCTCTGGCTCACCTTACTGCCATAAACAGATAAGCAGCGAATGTGCCTGTCTCTAATACTTTGAGCGGTGCAGTTCACACTAAGTCGGTGACGACGGCAGCAGCTGCAAGGCAACTACCCGACTACCTGAGAGGAGCACAACAGCAGCGTTCAACGAAGTTTCCAGGACATTTTTGAACATGCTCAATGGCCAAATGGAAGAAGAAAGGGGAAATAGAGCAGACTTGTCGGACCATAATAGTGAAAACAAAAGAAGGCAAGTGATTACTATACGCATCAAGTTTGATTGGCAGGGAGTTCATTCTCAGCTGCCTAGTTAACTTTGCTCATTTGGAACCTTACGCCGCCCCTCATCTAGAAAACATACCAAGGTAAGCTGTGATCGGGCATACGTAGTACGTGCCCGATGTCGAAGCAATTTATACACTACCTACCGTTTCGAGGAATTAGCATGATTATCACCGCTTAGTACTCGCCTACGCAGATCTTCGTTCCGAATATGTTGCTGACATCCAAGACCAGCAATGGTTCGTAGACAACGATTATCAAACACCAGAAAACACCGCAGGTACTCAGATAAAACTGGACAAGTCACACTACCATAGAGTAGGACGGCCCTCAATGTTGCCTTGTAAACGCGACCTTTCAGATAGAGGGAAACCGTTTACTGAAGCCACATATATCGTAGATTCAAAGACAGTTCTAGCTATTACAATACGTGAACTGACTTCAGTGCTTATGCGCCCATCACTGCTGATGTGAATTGATCAACTAACTCGACATTCTTGCTACCAAAGGTCAAAGGGGTCATCAAGTGGTTAGTGATCTTGCGACAACACTGAATTGCAAAGGTGTGAAACGCATGCCAAATGATGGGACCACACTACAGTTGTTGTTCAGGGTTGTTTGGGCCGTTTCAACCTTGTTAAACAGCAAGAGAATATCATCGCATAAACAAGATCAACTAGCTTTTCACCAGGTAGCACCTCAATGCCTTCATCGCAAGTTTCCGCAAGGGAACACACAACGAAGCAGTTGAACGAAATGGGGAAATTAGGCAATCCTGAGGAACGCCACTTGTTGTCGGAAAGACATCCGATAAGTCAATGTGGACTCTGACGCAGCGTGTGGTACTTTAATACATGGCACGTGAAATGTGCACATTTTTCATGAAAACACCTATCCGGACAAGTATTATGAACAGAATGGAACGATCACATGAATTGTGCGCACTCTTGAAATCGAGGAACACAGCTATTGACAGTATGCGGCACGTGTGGCGCTGCTTTAGCACCTGTTGCAGAGTGATTTAAATTATACCCTCACCTAAATGAACAGAATTGATGTGCATTCGCAAAGCACCCTTTTTGAGAAATGATTCACCACAGAACTCACAAGTATGGGTGAGTTGTTCTGGAATGGAAGACAGAAGGTAAACAGTTACAGATACGTCACACAGAAAAAGGCGCAGAATAGCGAATAAGCTGTTGCAATGATGTTTACATGTTGCGGTACACAAAGATCAGAAATGATGACCAATTACTTGGAGAACTCATAACATGAGACAATGACTGTAATCCTCAAGTATTTTCTAGTGTGGGGGGCAATAATGAAGAGCAGTGTGCAAGGAACAACGACATGATGCTAATGTTGAGCGCGAGATACTGCTAAAATATCGTTTTGCTTTCGTGATTCAAAGCGCAATAAGAACTAGTTCCCAAGCAGTTAACAGAAGTTGCAACCGATACAACCGCGTAGAGGGAAGCCCATTGCTGGTGTGACCAACTATCAGACTTGCTAGGGCTGCGTCCGAGTAACTTGCTCCCCTTTCAGATCACTTGAGTGACCCAGTCTGAGTGATCCCCTCCCTTCTTGCACCCTCTCGGCGCGATTTTAGAAGCACACTGCATATATTTTGGCTAAGGACTGTCAGTTCCAGTGGACCACGCATGCCATCACTACAACGGTTCATGCCTTACAGTGGGACTCACGAATTTAGTCCGTCAAGTTCCGCCTAAGTAATGGGAGCTATAGTCAATACACTATGACTGGGAGCATGTCTAGTTGAGAACACATATTTGAATGCCTGAAAGTCAAATCATGAAGCTCCATTACTCTGATGGTAGTTTCGCAGTTGTATTGCCTTCATCAATATCTGGTACATTTATTTCAAAGTGAAAATACATGCATAATTAGAAAAGCATGTGCACACTAATAATACCTTGCCCATAAACGGAATATGCCGCGGGTTCTTCAATCGCTGATATGCGACGTTTGTACAAAGAGTCCATAGGAAGGTTTTCCTCAGTTTTGAATGACGCATCGGAAGTACACTGGGTCTTAGAGTCCAGTGAACCATTCACTCGAGAATCCGGGAAGACGCCAACCGTTTTCTCATTTGGAGACATAGTTGGTGAATATGCGTCCGTGCACTCCGGCTTCGGTCTCAGAACACAGAGACTCAAGGGATGTCTCATCTGTGAGCTCTGTTTAACGTCATCCTAAAAGCGAAAATCCGGATCGCATGAATATTCCAAGTATGCATAAAGCAGTCCAAACAGTCCTCTAACTTACTTGGCCACAGCCTCATTCATAAATGAAGCATACATTCATGAGATAGTTCCAGGCTAGAACAAAAAGTAGCCGCTCAGGGTGCCAAGGTAAAGCAAAAAGCCTCTTATTAATCTACCAATATGTGTTCAAGATACTGTTAGAACGTGTCTGAAAGGCTATTGCTTCGGTGTAGGTGAAACAAACCGCTATGTCAGCAGCACTAGCAAAAGCGCAAGCAACACAAAAGTGATTGGAAACTGGCCAACTCCATTCGGAAACGTAAGTTCGTTGAGAAATAAGGAACAGTGGGTACGAGATGATTCAACACTTTTCCCTTTAAATACCCAGAACTTAGAGATTACAAAGAACCGAGCAATCGATGAATGCTGTGATGAGGAGTATCACAAACGAGAACAGTACACAGTGGGTGTTGTCTGCCCGAAAACACAGCAACCAACGATGGCTATCGAATTTATTCGACCTCAGCAAGTAGAGATAAAAGGCATCGGAACCGGGGCCAATGGGATGTTAGGGGAAAATTCTGCCTCTCGCCACCGAATTACGACAGTCAACGCTTGTCACAAAGAGCAGCGACTGACAAGAGGGTCATTTTTAAGCCATCGTTGTGTGGACCGCGAATGGCATTGAAGTGAACCTAGATCAATTCGATCCCTGGGACCGGCGTACTGCTGATGCATTTCCTTCTTTTTATTTCTCGGACCGTAACGAACTAAGGAGATAAATATCTGGGTCGCTTCAATGGGAACCGCTGTCCACATGAAAAGTGCGCGTGGTACCCCATTCACACAACGAATCCTTCACAAGGACCCTCCAAACATCATATCGTCACTCAGTACCTAAGCATCGCTGCCATACAATTAAGAATAAACAGTGAATATACGTATAAAGAAAAAGGAGGCCTCTGGAACAAGAAATTTCTACTTCTAACGTGATTCGGCCACATTGTAAGTTATCGCATTAAACAATGGCGGTAACAATAAAACAGTTTATCGGCGGGTCGGAAAGCACTTAGTCATGGACAAAGCAACTCCACATGTACATCCTTAAGCTGAGGCCGCAAACACCTTGGTGGGAACAGTACGCATGGAATAATGATGTCAAACAACGTTTTTAGTTAATGTGGACCTTTTTCTCGACAGGCTAGTAAGGCTGTGCAAAGCTGCGAATTGGGCACTTCCTGTGTATACCGGGTAAGTGACTACCAAGTAGCGCTTCACCCGTTCGCAGAGAATAACAATGGAAATCGCGCGGTGAACAACCTACCACATCGCCGCAAAACGGCAAAACAATGACTTTCAGTTCAGCTATTGCCAAGCCTGCGAAAGTGAGAGCGTTCAGGGATCGTACAAGAATTCCGAGGCACTGCTAAGAATATGGTCTACCGATTGAAAACTGCTAACGGGACCTCCATGAATAAAAGAACTGAATAGCTTCTTGCTTAGAACAGACATCAACCTTGAGTTGTTGCTGCAGCATAAGTTTAAGTGGTTCGGAAATAATCCGTCGCAAGTGTGTTGCAACGCCGTCGCTTTGACATTGCGCCCTCAGTCGAAACAACTATGCGACTGTTGTGGACAAGTGACTGAACGAATTATGGTTTATGAGCCCTGAGTGACTTGGTGGGTTAACGGTTCTTCTACACTGTACCGAGACGGACACAGATACCGCAAGACCACTCACGACACTGATAAAGAAGGCAATGACCTTTCGCGAAGAATTTACTGCGCAAGCAAGAGATGCAAAGACGAAGATCACAGTGCAAAACGGCGCGCTTTTCAGCGATATAATTTCCCAGCATAATATAAAGTTGCAAAAAACAATTTTTGTGACACAATAGCCAGCTGGTAGCTTCCCGGAACGATGCCGATCCGTTACTGGGGTGTCCGAAGTATCAGAGAGGAGTAGCACTTCTGGTAGGGGGACCTGCCTTACCCTCCGGGGTAGTTCGCCTATCTTTGGTCTCCACCTGTCACCAAGCTCTCACCTGTGGCTCCAAGAAGGCGCTTGCACGCGGCAGCGGCCACACCCCAGTTATCCGTCAGGCAGGCTGGCTAAACCAAGTGAGGGTAGCCGGGAATACTATTCTCGGTGACTTCGTACTCGCGTGCGACGTCAGTCCTGACAACTGGACGGAAGAGATCGACCCTTGATCCAACGGCCAGAAGTCAATACAATTTCCCAGATACCTGCTGCCTTGCAGGTAGCACTTGGCTGTCCAAAGGCTAGAGGTGAACCCTCGAACAAAAGTCGCATGAGGTTGGGGTCCTCATATATACGCATTATCCCCACGAAACTTCATGACATGTGGGTTACCCGCGATTCTTCCCAGGGCTACGGAGTTCCCGGAAGGCGACGCGCTCTCCGCTAACCCAGTGGCCAGAATGATAAGTTAGCTGGGTCCCTTAATCCCCGGAAGCCACTTTTCATTGGGCGCTGGAATGTCAGAACCTTGTTGGACGTCGGCAGCCAAGCGTTGACGATGCGCACACTACACGACTACCAGATCGACATAGCATGCCTATCAGAATCTCGAATACCCGGCAATGGCTCTCGACAAATCAAAGCCCCTGGTGTAGACACCTCATATTGGCTTTACCACAGTGGGCCGGAAGATAATTCCAGCATGGGTAGAGTATTTTATCAACCTCCTAAACTGCCCACTACACACCACCGCACACATTCCAGCATTAATCCAGCCAGGATATGACGCGGATTGCTCACTGCCATCTCCCATAGAAATTGCAGACATCGTTCGTCACCTGAAGACGAAGAAAGCCCCAGGAGCGGACGGGATTCCAGCGAAAATCTACAAATCTTGTCAACCAGCTCATCTTGACCATCTGCACGAGCTCTTCTGCTAGATATGGGAGACCGAAATCTGTCCTTCCTCGTGCAGTACCTTAGTACTACTGCCATTTTCCAAGGAATCTGCGAACTCGTCATAACCAGAGTGGCTTTCGTCCAGGCAGAGGCTGCACTGACCAAATCTTCACTCTACGTCAAGTACTCGAACACCACTACTAGTTCCAGCAGCACAGGTTTAGGTGCTTCGTTGTTTTTCGAGCTGCTTTTGACTCAGACGACCGCGAAACACTCTGGAGAATGCTACTTGTCGATGGCGTGTCGGTTAAACTCGTTAAGTTGGTGAGATCATACTACCGTTGCACGAAGGCCCGGGTTCGGGTATATGGAAAAGAAACAGAGGAATTCGACATCAATACTGGAGTCCGGCAAGGTTGACCACTTTCTCAAGTGCTGTTCAACTTCGCAGTCGACTAGATTATGCATCATGCCCTTGAGGGCTATCGTGGTGTTCAAGTTAGCCCTGATTTCTGGCTGTCAAATCTAGAATTTGCTGATGAGATCGCTGTCCTTGCGGAAGATGCTATATCCCTAAAGTCACTGCTAAATCGGATCGACCAATCAGCCTCTATGATCGGTCTCGGAATTAACATCAGCAAGCTGTAATAGTTCTCATCGTTAGCCACCCAGTCCGCCCCGTCGCTCACTTTACATGGACAACGCATCGAATCTGTTCCTGAGTTCAAATGTCTTGGATCCACCATATTCCCCAATGGTCAGGCTATATCCGAAATCCGGAATCTTATTGACAGCGCTAGAACAGCCTTCTTACAACAGAAACACTGTGGCGAAGGGCGGAAATTAGTCTAAGAACGAAGATCCGAGTATTCTCAACAACCATTCGTGCCATTTACTCTATGGTTGCGAAACATGGCCGCTGCGATCCGAAGACACCCGAAAGCTGGAAGTTTTCAACCACTGGTGTCTAAGGCTTATCCTGAAAACACAGTGGCATGAGCGTATCACCAATGACTAAATCCGTAAGCGCTGTTACAGTCTTCCGAAACACAACGCTCATCCAACGCCGCAGACTTCAGTGGTCCGGTCACGTCCTCCGCAGACCAAAAACTGACTACGCTAGGGCCGTGGCTTCACCCTCGCTTTGTCAGGGTTGGTGTCGTCGCCATGGTGGACAATTGAAAACGTGGCTCACTGCAGTGAAATCGGATGTCGATATCTGGGACTCCATGATGTACATGGTGCTCCTCACTGGAGGAATCACTGGATCAGTATCTGCGTGAAGCTTGCCGCCGACCGCCGAGCTTGGGCAGCTGCAATGCGCGACGTTCATGAAGCCGGCTCATCCTGTCGCAGAAGCTAGCTGCAGTAAAGTAAAAGTAAACTAGGTTACTGGTACCTCGGCTGGCGTGCATCTGTTGCATGCTCACTTTATCTTTATTTCTTATGTACTGCGACACAATAAATGAGGTTTTCCGCTTCTAGCTAATGTGTATAATGAACAAATGAATGAATTAGCCTGGTAATAATAGCACGGAGTTCCTCGTTATCGGAAGGGCGGCATAGTAGTTACTCAATACTGGAAAGATGGTAATTAGGTTAACGCAATTAGCCCTCGGCAATTGTATCGATAAGATCACACAATTGGCGACCTGGCAATAATGTCGCTTTGCAAGACAGGTAGAGTTGGTCACTGATAACGCTGTCACCGATAACTGCTAAAAGGCAATTCTGTTGCCGATAACGCATCGCGTAAGCGTTCCATGGTAACATGACAATTATTTGTGCAATGCTGTAGTCGAAAGAAAAAGTGTTGTATGCGACTGTCTCTGCCGGTTTCCTCAATCAACCTGCATGGCAGCCGCAGCGGTTGTATCCGTCAGTGCCCACTCAGCTTGCATGAGATACCCACTACTGCAATGTTCCCAGACATCGCATTGTTGTCGCAAGAAGTAAAGACAAACACCTTGGAGGACCTCATGCTGCGTGTATAAAGGTTCTACAGGCCATAGAAGCTGTAACATTGCACGTAAGTGCAACTTGTGAGCCCTGGAAGAACAGCAACAATGCATTACGGCAAACCACCAGCCAATAACACGTTTGTAGG